AAAAAAAATGGCTTCTGAATAGCAGTACTAGAAACTAAAAGGATGCCTTTAAAATTATCAGTGAAAATCATTTTCAATCCAGAGTTTTATTCTAGCCAAAGGTCAATTTTGCATCAAAATGGTGATGATGGGCCCTCCCTGGTGGTGCAGTGGGTTACAGTACAGCACTATGAAGCTATCCACAGCCACTGCAGCATGATTTCGATCCCCTGAGGGAGGTGACCCACATGGTGCAGCAGACCTTTCCTGTTCCGTGTGCTGCTCCCCTCAACAGTGTATTTCAGTCAATCTGCCTGTTCTGCTTCTCACTCGGTCTCTGTTGAATCCTCTCACCCCCCTACAGCTCTGGTCTGTACTGCAGTTCTTATACACATAAAAAAATAAATCTTAAACAAAAATGGTGAAATTACAAAAAAAATCCTCGGGGGCAGAAGGGATATAGTTTGTATTCACCATGATAACACACTAACTTGAGTAACCAGATGGAAGGATAGACTTGGGTTAACTGTTTGAGCTCTCTCTAACTAAATATTGGCTGGTAGCATAAATTAGCTCTCAGACATTAAAAACTGATCCAGTCATTAAATGACTGGTAAGATAATCTACAAACGTTTTGCCAGGCTTTGTGGTCTGTTATGAGCCATAACTTACCTGAATAACCTGGCACTGGTATACAAATCGGGTCCCTGAAACATGAGCTTGTGGATTGGACAGGAGACCTATGTATGCCCACAATACCTGGATCTCCAGGGAAACTGGTACCACACAGCAGGAAGTACAATGTATAGCCTGCAGAGGGTAAAGAAGCATGAATTACCTCATGAATCTGCTGAATCCCTGATGGTTGCCTATTAGTCACCATATATTAACTAGCCATGGTTTTTTAGACATTATTCAGTAACAGAGAAGGCCATGTGGCTTAGAGAAAGAAAACAAAAGCTCATAATAGACCATTAATGCCTTTGTTCTTAAAAAAGCTAATGTTCCAGAATGGAAATTACTCATATGGAGATTAGTAAAAGATGATCCTACTTATAATGGTATATGAAGCGCTTGCTTAGTGGTGCATAGTTAGTGTCATAGTAAAATAAATTATGCATCATCCATATTAGGCTATTATGCAGAGGAAGAGGACATTCCTTATGCACTGACATAGAACAAACTCCAAGCAAGTGAAAAACAGCAAAGTACAGAGCAGTGTTTATATTGTGTCATTTGAGTGAAAAAAAGAATATGAATATTTACTTGTGTGAGCATATAATATATCTAGAAGGAAAGAAAGTAGTAACTTTGGTTGCCTCTCGAAGGAAAGAGTTATCTTGGAGAGAGATTTTATACTTTGTGGATTTTGGATCAAGTGTATATAATACTTATATACAAAAATAAACAATTATAATTTTTAATGAAAAAATATAAAGGTGCAGTTGACTAAAGTTAGAAAATAGGGGTAGGAAAAAGAGGAAGAAGACAGACCAGATCAAATGTCCTTATTTTATTTAGACTGAAGTAAAGAGAGATACTTGCTGTGCACTGATCTAGTGGGCCACCAGAGAAGTGAAAATAGAAACAGCTAAATGAGATTACTTCCAGGCAGGGTATGTAGTTTTTTACTTAACTTGATTTGAATTTTTAATTTTTTAATGTATCCTCTTTATATGAAAAGGTAAAACTATAACACAATTTCAACCTCAAAGAAACAAACTGTGCTGACTAAGGGTTTAAGAATGTAAGAGAATATTGTTAATAAATGGTGTGACATTGAAGCACAGAACTCTTTTGACTTTGTGCATTCAAATGTTATCTCGAAGTAAGGAAGTAGGTGTAAACTTAACCTGAAATAATTACTTTATATACTGGTATGTTTCTCATTTTCTTCCTTTTATGACAACTATACTATCTTCCCTCTGTGACAATCACACCATTTATGGAAATAGAGCTAGTTTTAATTTTAATACCTATAATTTACAAATGAAGGATAAAGCAAGTCTGAGCCAGAATGTGTTTCTCTCCTTACTGAAACACTGCAGTTCCTGCTGAGGATCCTGGTCCACTGTCCCTTCTGGGCTGGGTCAGCATTACCAAAGATGGCAACCTGCTCTGGTCTGGGCCTTCCATGAAGAGTCTGATAAATCTCTCGTTGCAAGTGGGTGCAGTCCCCCTTTTCCAGTCTAAAATGAAACACCATGGAGGTTGGAGTCCAGTTCCAGTATAATAATGTAATTATATTAACATACTGATCCAAACAAATAATATATAAATTGGAAGGGACCATCCTTAGTAGGTATAAAGTGCTATCAGAAACTCTTAGCAATATTGCTATCATATAGATTGAGACTATTCCTAATTAGCATTCTCTGAGCTATCATTCAAAATACAGAAGTTGCCATATCAACATATTTCCTACAGACAAGAGTCAAAATTGTGACAAATGATGCAGAACCAAAGAATTACCTGAGCTTGCATCCAGATGCTGCATTCACTCCAAATTGTACTTCATATCTCTTAACAGAGCAAGTTCCATCACCCTGACTCTGAAGCAGGGTCATCTGAATTAGAAAGTGATGATCAAGGAGATCATAACAGAAAAAAGGTAAGCAACCTGCAAAACTTTGGCTCACTGCCTCCTTCGTGTTATTTACATTTTATTAATATCATTGTGTTACCATGCAATTTACAAATCTGGCTTTTTCCTTAACAACACACAATTACTGTTTTATTAAAAATGGTTAACTGTACACCAGTATGTACATATCACTAAAGCAAGCAAAAATCATAGTTCTCATCTTTGTCCAGTCTACCATAGGTTTTAAAACTTTAGGTAGCTAGCACCAGCATTTGATGAGGTAGTAATGGTTTCATAAAAGAAGTCTGAAATATCTAAAAAATGGTGGAACCTCAGAACTGGAAATACAAGATATCAGCAGATGCAGCTTTTCTCATTAGGCTGCAACAGGCTACCCAACTCCCCCAAAAGGATACTGGATAAATTCTATCGCCCGCTAGAGCCAAGAGTGGCTTCCCAACGATATAACCAGGATTCCCACTTCTAGAACGAGTAAGAGAAGCCACTGTGCTCTGTTGAAAAGTCTGCAGAAAAGAGTGAAGGAAAGTCGATTATGGAGAAAAGCATGCTTCCTCCACCACCCACTGCTTGCCTTCATGCCCGCCCTTAGAGCAATGCAGCACATTCTGCTTATTGCGTTAGTTAGGTGAACATCTGGCTTCCTTCCATGGTTTAGCATTTTGTTGAAAAGTATTTCTTTTACTTTTTTCATTCACTAAAAGAAATCCTAATGCTACATGCTACTATCAAGGATTATATGCAATGATCCTTCAACCCTATATCTCAAAAATTACTATCAGTTCAGGGCTATGTTCAGCCTGGCTAAAACCAGAGAAATTTAAATTAATTTACAAATATATATTGATGTTCTATAGATGTACTTTGAGAGACACTGAGCTGGATCAATCACCTGAGGGTAAATTGAGAAGAAACTGAACTCTGGTGGTTCAAAAAGAAGAATGTGAAAAGGTGGCTGTCAAGACTGGAAACTTAAGTGGGAAATAAACAAAATGCCCAGATCCCTTGAAGGCCCAGATATATGAAAAAGCTAGTTAAAGAATTTCTGTCAAAAAAAAAGTGACTCCTCAGATAATCAGAAAAAACATTTCTGAATAAACACTGTTGAATCCCTTCTACTTACAGTTAGATTACAGCTTATTAAATGTTGAGGCCTCAATTCGCACAGTGAACGAGGCCTTCACATTCTATTTTGCATGTGCGGCTGAACAGCACAAACTATTTCTATTCCTCCCCTCTTGATCCCTATGGGAGAAGGCCCTAACCCTGAAGCGAATGATGAAGTGTTGCTGTAAGGAAGCGCTTGGCTCCACAGTCAGGTTGGTTTGCCCAAAACTGACAGAGACTTTCTGGATTCCAAAGGTCCCATTAATTTCTATCTCATAGATGACCTGAAATAGAAAAGCAGAATCAATCAATAAAAATTGTTTAGTAGATCAATTACATTTAGGACAGATTTTCTGGCTTTAAAGGTTTTACTATAACTCAATGAGGGTAGAGCACAGTGACTATAGTTAGAAATACTTATTATATATTTGAAAGTTGTTAAGATAGTAGATCTTAAAAGTTCTTATCACAAGAAAATCAACTGTAGTTACATGTAGTGATAGAGATTCAATAATTTTATTTTGGTAATCATTTTGCAATATATACAAATATTAAATCACTATTTTGTAGACCCAAAACTAATACAATGCTATATGTCATTTATATATCAATTAAAAAAAAAACTGACTGAGGGAGGCTAAAAAAATAACATTAAAAGGCCACATACAAATACCATGAACAGGTTAAGGTTGACTTCATATTATATCTACACATGAAAAAAGAAAACTGCATAGGGTTTTGAAAAAATTCATGGGAGAGGTAAGTTTACACTAAGAACTGCAAGGGGGAAATGTGTAGAGGAGGATAGTAAAAGCACAGACAGGGTGAGTATGGATGGAGACCTGCTTTACTCGGCTTGCTCAAAGTCTGGGAGGAATGAAGACAGCTGAAGACGGAAGTTGTAAGCAACTGAAGGTAATCTTAGATTTCCGAATAGTAATAGTCTTTAATGTTTTAAGGTAATTCTTCCTTCTTTAGAAGAGCCACATTAGAAGAAGCTGACTAGTCTATTTTAGATTTTCAGATGATACTTGGAGAAGAAAATGTGCTAAGAATCATAATAAATTACATATAGGAAAGAAAAAGGTGTCAAAATAGTTTCAGGTTCTGGACAGGAAGTACCAGACGATGGCAGCAGTGGATCTGACTGAAATGTGACAAAAGGAAAGAAGGAAGGAAGGGGACTCAATTCTTGACCCACTAAGTCTCAGGCAATGCACAGAAACACGTGTGGGCTGTGGGCTTTGTGGAACCTGATAGAGAACGACACACCCCCGACATGCTGATGGATGTGCACTGTCCTGAGGTCAGCATCCCTACCTGGGAGACAACATTCTGACAGATGTTTCCCACCAGCAGAGGAGAATCAACCTGGGAGACGAGTGTTACAGGAACCTGGAACTAGCACGGGAAAACAGCACATCAACTAACATCAAAAAAAGAATTTTCTAGCTCTAGGGGTCATGCTGAAATGTATTTTTCTGACATACAATCACCTTTTTCTAATCTTCCATTGTCAGCCCATCACTTAAATTCAAAAGCCATTCTAAATCAGCACTTTGAAAAATATTTCTCAGGACATTAATACTATTAGATAAAAAGTTCTATGGTCAGATGAATTTTAGAAAAATACCATATCCAACCGGCCCGTCTCAGAGATTAGAAATATGTCAAAAGTCCCCAATAAAGCTAGCATTTTTAACCTTACATATTCCAATGTTTTGTAAACATATCTAAGCCCTTATGTATCCTTATTTCACAAGATGCTTTTAATCATATAGAATATACTTTAGATTCATGCTTGAGAATTTGATGCATACATATTTTTTCACCTTCATAATCTAGACTGAAATTGCCTCAGATGCAAAGGAGCCAAATAGTCTTTCTTTTTTTCCTGATAAACAGCCTCGTACCTTCACATTCTGCAGATCAGTTATAGCTCTTGGAACCTAGAATAAGAGAACATGGACATGAGTGTCCAGATACCTTACAGAAGATCTCTAGAAACTTGTGGCTTAACATTTTTTTTTGAAAAAAACAATCAACATGTTAGAATGATGTTCTTCCCCTTTTCTAACTCTTCCTTATACAAGATGCCAGGAGTGGTGTTGAGGGAAGGCTGGATGGACTGTGATGCTCACTTACCTGAGCACAACTTTACCAGACAGCAAAAGCAAGTTTTGGTAAAACAGTGAGTCACTCCCTCTAATCCTCCCAAGCCAATCTCACTAATTCAGAGGGTAAGAATCTTTTAGCCTGGCTACAGCATCTCTCTTCATATGATGGGGTTTCTAGGCCCTCTGCATTTTATGTAGCTCTTGGGAATTCTGACTTCCAGTTCAGTCCTTTCACTACATCTCAAAAGTGGGAAGCATGCTGACTTCAAATGCACAGTGGTGACAGGAGAAGGGTTACTTACCTTCAAGACTGTGAAGTTATAGTAAGAGGCAGCATTGAGGGCTGGAGCCAAGGTACAGCTATTTGCCAAGTTCTCGAAGAAACGAGTGCAGGTTGTACTTTTACTTTCCAAGAAACCTCAGGACACAAATTGGTAAATGAAACAGCCAATTTTATTTTTTTTTTTTGGGAGGGAGGAATATTCTTTGCTTCCAGAAAATACTATAATCTACTAGAAAACTTAAGAGCAATAAACAGGCAAGTTTATAGTTTAGCAATACACTAAAGCACTTAGAAATCCAAATAACCTTCAGCAAGGCATAAAATACAGGAACAATACTTAAAGTAACATTTCTATCAGAAAAAGCAAAGTATAAAGTTCAGTTTTTAAAAGAGTCCCCTTCACATAAACAAAATGATAAAGCATATAAAAATAAAATATGTGGTGGACAAATTCTGAAACTTTATTGAAAGAGATAAAAGAAGATTTGGATAAATTAAAATTATTCAACAAATTTATTAGAACTTTTAAGCAATGATAGACAGACAGAGAAAACATAAATGGTAGATGGATGTGAAAATTTTGCATTAATAATACTGATCATTGAAAAAGTTAAAGTGACTCTACGAAGCAACTCGCAAGATGTTTCTTAGTTTTTCAGCCTACATATACAAATTAATATCAAAAAAGCCAATTTTAACTTGAAAAAAAAAAGGCTTTAAATTGAACAAAAAGGCTTTGGACCCACCTGCAGGATTGTTTTCAGCACAGAAGCCCCCAGCTCCAACTCCAGCAGGCTGCTTCAGCAAGCTTGTTATAGACCACTTGGGGAAGTAAGTGAGGATGGGGTCCCCAGCCTGAACCAAGGACAGCAGATAGTTATTCATGCTGAGATCAGACTGAACAACACCAGAAAAGAAAAAGTGAAAACAAAAGTTAACAGCTTGCTAATGTGGACAGTACTGCCTCCCAAAAGAGCTGACTATGGTTTACTTAGTTGCAAGGGTGTACCCCAAAAAACACCTGGTAAAATGCTGACCATTAGGGAAAAAATAAACCTCCCTTCCCCTTTCCTTGGGCTCACCCTATAAAAAGGTGATGGTGACTGGGTCTGGAATGTTGAAGTGAATGAGTCTCCTCCAAACTCTGCAGCCAGCGCCTGGAAATTGGTTGCATTGACTATTTGGGGCTTCTGGAAATAGTTTAATTTTGCTAATTTTTTTTTTAAAGAAAGGAAGAGTAAAGAAAACACATTTTATTTTCAAATATCTTACATACCGAGAAACTAATTTTTAAAAATGTTTTTATTAAGGCATAATACATACACAGTATATGATATATATATATATACACACAATATTTTAGTATACTAGTCTTGAATGTAAACTCAAAGAATTTTTACAAATATACATACTTTTATTACTACCACTCAGGTTAGGCCGTAGAATTTTTTCCCAGAAGGTCCCTAGTCAATACTCTTTTCAGACATAATGGTTCTGATTTCTGGGACCTTCTAATTTATTTGTAATCTGTTAATTGAATTACTTAAGATTGAGATCTGAGAGAAGAATGTAGCTAATGACTACCAATCAGTTCTAAGTCTCTAATATCAGATATATGTAAAATTAGCAATATGAGCTAAATATAGGAGGCCCAATAGTGCTCACATCTGAAGAGATTATCGTATAAAAAAGGTACTGTTTGGGTCCTCCCTGGTGGTGCAGTGGGTTAAAGCACAGCACTAAGAAGCTAAAGCCACTTCAGCATGAGTTCGATCCCCGCCTGCCCCGGAGGTGACCCACATGGCACAGCAGACCTCTCCTGACCCGCCCTCTGTTCCCCTCAGCAGTACTTTATCAGTTGGACTGTTCTGCTCCCCACCACCCCTGCACCTCTGGCCTGTACCCGGGTTCTGTATGAATAAAAAAGGTACTGTTTACTTAGGAACATTTATTTTCTCCAAATCTTCCTGTTTTTCTGTAAATTTCAACTAACCAGTCCTAATGATGTTTCCACCATTCAAGTAACTAGCCTTGTCATATTTTATTCCTTTCACCTTATAATTTCTACATTCAAGATTTTTTAAAGGGGAACCTTAGAAATAATTCTGTAACTATATACCACGTCCTTCTGATCTACTTCCTGATCCATGGCTTAACTACTGTAAATAGTGCTGCGATGGCAGTGCATGTATCTCTTTGGTTTAGTGATTTTTGTATTTTTCAGTGGTGGTGGGGAGACAGGATACCTAGGAGTGTAATTGCTGGGTCATATGAAGAGTCATTTTTAATATTTTGAGAAACTGCTATACTGTTTCCACAAGGACTGGGCTAGTCTATTCATTTTTCTTGCAGTATACATTTATAAAGAATTTTCATATTTGACTAGTGATATTTCTTATTTTTCAGTTGAAGAAATAAAGCTGGCAATGCTATGGGATTCGCCAAACTGTGCAGTTGGTAAGTAAATGGCAGGACTTTAGAATTCAGTCAAATGCTATTTCCCCTACACTGTTACCGCTTCAAATAAAACATCATTTGTAAAGACATTAACTCAGATATTATTGGTAACTCTTATCGGTCACATGCTGGAGGTTCAGTGAGTACCTTCGATGAGTCTGTAGCAGTGGATGATGTCACCTATCTGATAAGAAGGATTTTTGAAATTAAAGTTCTATATGGGTCTTCTATCCACAAAGAACATGGCAAAAGACATGCAATTATCCATTAACAAGAGAAAGAGAGAGGGAATGGAATGAGACAGAGGAAGATAGAGATTATCAAAGGCCAGAGGCAATGCTGACTCTCAGTAAATGTTAGGCAATAACAATAACCAACATGTTTCTACTCACAGTTGTTCACGTGGACACAAAACTGCCAAATTCCATTCGAATCCATGAAAACTCTTGTAGGAAAGGGGGAATTACTCCTAAAGATAAGAGAGTTGTCCACGCACACCCAACTTGAAGACCTGTAAGGAATCAGGAGGGAGAGCAGCTGTGGAGTGTTAGGTCCAAAGAAGGATGCTCCATAGTTATCAGTCAGAGGCTTAAGAGAGAACTGCTTGGCCAGCCACAGGACAACAGGAAGGTCCTCTCCTACTGGACAGTATGACTCTGGGAATCCAAAGGGGAATGCAGCCCCCGGAAAAACTAAGGCAGTTGCATTTTTGTGAATGGAAGTGGGAGCAGGGGGCACAAAGGATAACTATTTCCAAACACTGTCTATTCTAGGCCCCCCTCCCCCCGCAACTTGGGATGCAACCTGAGCATCACAGCTCACCTCACACTGCCTGGCAGGCAGAAGGAGAAAACTGTCTTTGGGTGGAGAAGATAGCAGTCCCTGTCGCAGCAACAATTTATATCACAGGTACCAGGAGTCAAGTCACAGACACAAATCGGTAAACCTAGGAAAAGACAACACATAGCAGACCAAATGGGAAGGGGATCCCCAAAAGCTACCACATACTAATTTCTCTACTTCCGACAGCCCCACACCTCGCTTTGGGGCAATTCACTTCGTTCACAGCATTCTAGATATAAGGCGGTAATTTCTATGCCATATGCCCTCCCCTCACCTGGGAAGAGGTCCACGGTCCTATTCCCGCGCACCGTGGGGGTTACTACTGTAGGGCTCACCGTGGAGCCTGTAGGCACAGTCCAGGGAGTTTCAGTCCCTTCGGAGAGGGACTGACGGGTCCCGGCCCGCGATCCTGGTTCCAGGTCCGAAGGGGTGGGTTCCGTCCCCGTCGGGGAGGAAGACGGCTGAAGCCGGACGCCTTCGGGGACCATCAGGAACAAAACCTGTAACAGCACGAGCTGGGAGGCAAACATGGGGCAGCAGACAACCTCCAGGGTTTAACGTGGGTTTCCGGGTCGCTTGGCGCGTAGCTAGAGCGTGGGTAGGAGGAGTCTCGTGGCCTCTGACGTTGGCATTACGCATTGGTTCCTGGATAGGGCCTAGAGCTCGTTAGCCAATAGAAAGCCAGGTTGTTGCCGCGCGGTTAGCATCTTTGTGTCTGCGTCCTCTTCAGGCAGCGTCAGGGGCAACCTGTCGCTTGGCAACCACTAAGTTGTCAAAGGAATCCTTGCACTTTCTCGCCGCTAGAAGACAGTAGGCGGTCAGCTCAAACTTTACGGCCCAGAGGACCGAGCCTTTCTCTGACAGGGAAACCCAAAGGCTGGAACCCAAAGGCCTGCTTTTCCCACCTAAGGAAAATTAGTGACCGTAGGGAGGAAAATACGGGGAAATTCACAGATCTTGAATCTTTTTTTTTTCATCCAAATACAGTATTTTTTTCATAGGCATGTTAGATTTCACTCCTTAAAATTTAGCATTGGGTAATTAAAGAAAATAAATGCATAAATTCATTAGATGTGCAAAAGTAGCAACCAAATGTGCATATTACTAGAAAAATAGTGAGAAAGAAGATGGTGAGAGATGGAGTGAAACCTGTGATAGTGAGAAAAAGGGTAAGGAAAACAGAAGCAGACTTTTTAGGACATAAAGAGAAAATAATATGGAAATAGCCAAGGGTTGGAGAAGAAAATCTGCCTTTGCTATTATAATCCCACTTTTTAGCACTTTTAGAAGTGTTGGGTGTTCCCTGGTGAGTGGCCAATCTCTTCTGGGTCTCTAGGTCAATACTATACAATACTATACAATACTATACAATAGAACTTTCAAATGTTCTATTTCTGCACACGTTCTGTTGAGAATGGTAGCTACAAGCTGAAATATATCTATTGCACACTTGAAATCTGGCTATTTGATGGGGGAGTTGAATTTTTAAATATTAATTCAAAATTAAGTAATCACCTGTGACTACTACTTGGTAACCGTACGACATTAAATGATCAAAATCTTGATTCTGCTAGACCCTGTGTTTTCAGTCTGCATAATCCTGACTTCAGTTGGTTGGTTGGAATATAAATTAAGATTTGTTAGATTTATCTAGAAACCAAGTATAATTACCTAAAAGCTTTCGAAGTGAATCACTTAGATAGATATATTTTAGAATACCTGACTTGTGCACATTCCCTGGAGTATCACAATTTGATACTCTAATAATATTTTGTAGTCAGCAGTAAAATGTATCTCTCATGAATGTTCTCAAATATATTTTTATATGATTGTATGGTGGATTGCTTGCTCAAAGAGACATCTATATTTGTCTTTGGTATGAAAGATACCTATCTTATTAGTAATTTCTGTAGGATAAGGCCAAATTCAGGTTATTTAAATTTTATGTCCTAGAAGATAAGCTTCAAGAGACAGGAGTGTTTATTTTATTTGGTTCACAGATGTATCTTTTGCCTAGAGCAGTATTTAGGCTATGTTAGATTGCATTAAGTGTTTTAAAAATGAAATAAAGATTATTTTGTTGAACTCTTTAGTTTTAAAACTCATGAATATTTATACATTATATTATTTGAAGGTTGAATTTCTTTATATAAAAATACTACTGTATAACCAGCTGAAGATTATTTTAGATTTTGGAATTTACACTGTAATTCTCAATCCAAGGTATATCAATTATAAATTATTCCTGTATTTATTAGCATTGGCAAAGAGTGTTGATTTAAATAATTTTAGGGTTGAGTTTATGGAACTAGCACTTCAGGATCTTTCTGAGTTGCTGTTTTCTTAATTTTGAACTTTTGCATTTTATTAATTTTTAGAATAGTTTTTCCTCTTTTTTGTTATAGTTGAGCAAAAATATATTTGTGGTATTGATGAAATTTTATATGAATATCTGTAATACAGAACTCTCAATTCTTTAAAATACATTTATTTTTAAAAAGTATTTATGCATACAACAACTGGCACACAGGCCAGAGGCGCAGGAGGTGTCCTCTCACCAGAGACAGAGTGAGGAGCAGAACAGGTGGATCGACTGAAATATACTGCTGAGGGGAGCCGTTTGCTGTGCTATGTGGGTTAGTTCCCTGACCAGGGATCCAACTCATGCCTCAGTGGTCAGCAACAGCTTGATAGCAATGAGACTTTAACTCCTGCACCACCAGGGAGGACAAGAATTCTCATTTCTTTTGAGATCTAATATTAAAACCTGAAAATAATATTGAGGAAGGAAAATGAAATTTATTCACATGTGTCCTGCAGATGTTATTTAAACATAAGTATTAAATCATAAACTGAAATTACTTAATGTGATATCATCTCAGAAGCAGGAATTTCCAAGTTAGATCATATGATATTAGCAACTGTTTGTGTTTGGTATTAAAAGACTTCAATATGTGCTTAGAAATTTAATCAAGACATTGAATCAAGATGGCAGAAAGATAAAGTTTTAACTTCTCCTGACTCCTCCCATTTTCAAAATGTCTAAAGTTACAGAAGAATTAAATAGAAACACACTCATATGTAGCCATGTCCATACTTGAAAACCATGAAAGAGTGCTTTTAATGGACCAGTCATGAGAACCTTTAAAAAAGAAGGCAGATGGGTTTTTTTTGGAAGATTGTGTCACGGTGTTGGCTTCTGTCTGGCGAATACTCAATGAATTTTCATCCCCAAATTTCACCTGGTTACTCTGACCTTTACTAATTCAGTCACATTCAACAGGTGAGAGGAGAGCTAGGACATGCATAGAAAAGGCATGATTTTTTTCTGAAAGGAGAGTCTCTGATAAAACAGAGGCCTTTAAATTAGCCGGAGAGCTGCTTAGAAAAGTTCCTGAAGTCTTCCCCAAAACTTTAGATTAGAAAAATCTTCAGTAATATATTCAAAAACACAGTGAAATCGTTAAGCAATTCTCTGGCACCGACAATATTATGAAGTTTCTTTCCTCTTTAATTCCACCTTTGTTAATGGGTTAGTGTTGAACTTAGCACACTCGTTCAAAGATAAAACTTAACTGGACCACTATGGAGCCCCATACCTTGGTAGTTTTGACTAATGAATTGTCATATACTTACAGTGGACTACAAAAAAGAAAGAGGCCCAAGTTTTGGACCTACAAATCTAAGTGGCTCAAATTCTGAATTCTGGCTTCAACAACTGCCTCCAACTCGTAATGCCAACAGAAATTTCAGAGTCCCTTTCCTTTTGTAAGGAATTTGTAATTACTGCAAAAAGCATGGATATTAGAAAAAATATTGCTTAAATTGAAAAGACAATTGCAATCCAAACCACCCACAGATTCAGAGATTTAGGAGAAATTTCCACTCTGGCAGCAGAATAGTGAGACTGAGGACAAAAGTGGGATTTTCACCATTGTTAACAGACATCCAAGGTGAAATAGACCTTTTTTTATATTGGGAATGAGGTGACTTGGGCTCCTATGGATATGGGAGCCTCATTACCAGTTCTTAACCAGCTTCTTCCCCTTCCTCAGAATGCAGAAACAAAACAGGTAGTTGGAGTGTCTGGTACTCCTGTGACCATTTGTAAGTCTTTATCCATTCTTTTCCAGTTAGAATCTATTCAGGCACTCACAGTTTTTATTTGTCCTCCTGATCCCTGTTTATCTATTAGGCCATGATTTTCTCACAACCTATCAGGCACTTTTTTCTCATGAAAGGGAGAATTATTTTTAGAAATGACAGGTGCAAATATAAGAGAAAATATAGAAAGTGGGTCTGACATGCTATCTGTTTTTCTTGCAGGCCAGATCACTCAGCATGCACTCCTTAGTGAAGTCCCTGACACCCTTTGGTCCAAGTTCTACTGATACAGAATATATACCCTCTGCCCCTCCTATTAAAATCCAGACTGATCATTCTAAACCTCTTCCCCAATGTCAGCCAACTCCCTTTATCTACTGAGACATTGGACTGAATCAAGCTTTTAACTAAGGAATACATAAACAAGGGCTTAATTATTTCGTATATTAGTCCTTGTAACATACCAGTTCTCCTTGTATGAAAACCTCGTTCTAAAGGAGGGAGATTTTACAAGTCATCAGAGCAATAAATATTATTGTTAGACCACAATATTTTGTTCATTGCCCCCACCATGTTTTCCTCTATCTCCTCTGATAACATATGGTATAATACCTTGAAGTGCTTTTTCATTATCCAAGTAGCTCTGAAAAGTTAATTTTTTATTTGCCTTTATTTGGAAAGGACAACAATTTCCTTGGACAGTCATATCACATGGTTACACTGAAAGTTTTACTTATTTTTCTAAGACTTAAAAAATTATATAGAAGATGTAGTATTTCTCCAGTATTCCACCTTGCTATAACATATAGAAGATTGATACTTATGCAGAGGAAAGTGTTCAGTTGTTAAAACAGTTGGGTGATAAAGTATCCAAAGAAAAATTATAATTTGAGATGCCTCAGATTAAGTGTTTGGGCCGTATCATTAGTATTTGAGATCTCCATTTAGATTCAGACAGCATAAGAATCTTTGTCTTCTCTTATTTCCCAAATTAAACATCAACTATTTGGATTTTCGGCCTCACCAGATACTGTCAAAATCAGGTCCTAATTACTCTGTAACTGATCAGCCCTTATATGAAATACTTAAAGCAGATCCATCTAAACCTTTCCAATGGAAAAACAGAGCCAAAGGACATTTTAAGAGACACAGCATAGCTTTCTTGATTCTCCCTTTTGCTTTCCTGTGTTTGCCACAAAATGTCCAGAAATCTTAGTTATTGCTAATGACTTTGGTGATAGGATTAAGTCAAGAAAATCTAAAACATATGTGCTATTTTTAATTTCCTGGGACATCCAAATTATGTTATTTTTTCTATATGAGCGTAAAAACAAAGGCATTTTAACTCAGCAACAATGTGACAAGAAATAAATCTTATCCTATTCCAGTAAACAATTAGATTCATAGCAAAAAGCTTATTAACTTGAATTAGAGTAACCTTTTTTAAAAAAACTAACTTTTTAAAAATT